TCCATCTCCTGCTCTGGGAACGGTATATGATCTAGGCCTGCTCAATCAAATAAAATCATCTTCTCCCAAGAATGACTGGCTAATGGATGATACAAGTCAGGACACTGAGTAACAACAGAACATTAACTAGATTTTCCTTGGACCTATTTAAGGAGATGGGAACTTTTCCTACTAGATTGAACCACAAAGAATGTAACTGGCAGCTGCCTTCTAACTACAATGTTCCTAATTGAGAATAGAATCAACAGAAAGTAGAAGCAAGAGATAGAAATGAGGAAATGGGGGTAGGGGGCTTTGATTATATAATTTGTGTCCTGTATCTAGTCTACTTGAAGCCAAACTTATCTTTAGGTTATTGTTAAGAAATCCTCTTTTTATTTAAATCAGCTTGAATATGACTTTCTGTTCCAAGTAATCAAAAGAATTAATTCTAACCAATACGAACAGTAAAGTGGCAATTGATGTTTACTAAAAATATTAAGTAAAAATATTAAGTTAAAATGGTTTAAAAAGTCAGTCATTTATTTATAAGGAATTCATAGTTATCAACACCAAGATACCTAATGAGAAAAAGAATATGAGGAAAGAAAAGTACCAAAGATTAGAAAAGGAAGACCAAAACTGAATATTCAACTTAAGGAAGAATATTAAATTAATTACATTAGAATAAAATTAACACAGATCTCTAGATCGAGAGAGTCCATTAAAATTAAAACAAATGTATATCCCCCAAAAAACAGAGAACAGAGGGGTGACAAAAATGGAAAGAAGATTTTAATTTCTTGAGTAAGAAAGCAGATGAAGAGAGAATGATAGCTGATAAATTAACAGAGGAAGTTATAACCTACTATTTTCATGAAAAAGAAGAAAGCCAAGAAAGGATCCAAACTAGGCTATATTATCCTGAACTCCAGGTATAAGAAGTTTAAGATATGAGGTTGGAAAATTTCTAAAGTCGAAAGTATTCACAGTCAACAACAATACATTTAAGAAAAGCCTACAACATGAAAGAGAACATAAACATTAGAAAAAAAGACCACAAAGAAAACATTAACATTTTAGGGAATGAAAGATAATGTTTAAAATCTCTAATCTTTATTTTAAGGCTGTAGTGATGCTATACCATAGAAAGAGAAACAGGTTGTTATGAAAAAGGACCAATTCATAAACAAGTAAAGTTCTTGGCTATTAAAAATATGATTGCTAAATAAAATATGTGAGAAAAAAGAAGTGAAGTTTCATTCTAGGAGGTATAACATCTGAACAGTGAGAGTTCCAGAAAAAGGGACTAGAAAAAGTCGAAAGGAGCAAATTATCAAACAAATAATGGGAGAGCATTTGCCAGAGCCATCCTCCCACTGCAGTTCTATTAGCTCTGCCATATTTTGGTCAGATTTGACATCGGGTTTTCTTCCCACAAAAAAAAAAAAAAAGGTCATAGCAATTCTAGGCTTCCCATTTACACAATCCTCTTTACAGGAGAAAGAGCTTATCTTCTGCCAACCAGCCAACTATCCATCATCTGCAGCTTCAGCTTCATTCTATTTGGTACAACGTAGGTTAACAAAACCACTCCTGATCCAATCACAATGATCAAGAGAATGGCAGGTTGTGAGTGGGTCACTTGGATTAACGTCATCCCTGACATTAAGGG